GGATTCCCTGTGTTTCCAGTTCCTATCTGTACCAGTGCACATCCTCTGGTCTAACCAGATTTGTAAAGCAGAATTGAGATCATGAGAGTGGGAGTGGGGGGCGGGAAGCATTTAGGAGCTAGAGGTAAGTTGTATGTGAGGCAGAGATCAGCCATACCTCCCTCCTTCATCCTTCTTTAACGGACACCAACCATCCCTTCCCATGGTACTCTACTCTGCGGGCTTAGATCCTCTGTTGCCAAAACCTCACAGAACTCACAGACAATACTCATGATTGTGGGGGGTATGTTAGGGAAGCTAATCAGATTACAAATCAGGATGCAACATGTTAAGGATACAGTTCTTTTCCCTAAAGGGCCTCCTCTTATCCATGCCCTCACCCACATCGCTCTCTCTCTCTCTGGTCCTTGGCCACCCACCCATGTGGCCCCTTGGCTTCTTCCCTGCTTAGGCAAGGGTTACAAAGCTCCTTTAGTGTGGATGAACACCCAAAGGGCAAGCTACTCCATAAACCGGCCTCCTGCCCAAAGGCCCTCACTTTTACTCCTCGCAGGGGTGGGGAAGCCTGTTGCTCTGTTTGCTGGGCTCTGCTGCTTCTGCCTCTGCTGCTGCCACCACTTCTGCCTGGAGAGATCCCATCGTCCGAGCTCCCATTCTGGCTTGATGTCTGGGTGGTCGTGAGCTTCTCTGTTCCTGTTTCTGCGATGGCTCCCCCTCCACTCAGTGGAATAGCAAAACTGACCACTCCCTTGACAAGTTAATCCATGCTCTCACCCAGTTCCCAGTTGTGTGGCGAGGAACTACAAAGATGAAGGATAGAAGAACCACCGCAAGGAACATCACTTCATTACACAAGGATGTCACCGTTTGCCAGGCCCGCTGGCTGCGCCCCTTCACCTCCTTGGCGTCTGCAGCTGCACAAGGGAGGCAGGGATGGTCTGCAGCCATGTTTCTAAGGTTCCCAGATGGGCTTCTGTTCAGATGCACGGTGCCACACAGCTTGGAGAGAATCTGATCTTGTGGGGGCCGGTGGCAAGGGGATTCACAGGGGGTACACTCACATTCCAGGACAGGTGTGGGAGGAGTGGCCCCAGAGGATTTGCCCAAATGGTCAACCCTTGAGTCTGCGGCCTCCACAAGCAACAGTGGGGCAGTCAGGGTAGCTTTTGTGACTGTCAGCTTTGAGAGCAGACTTATCGGCAGAGCATGGAGTGAGGAGAGACAAGTGCAGGGACAAAGGGTGGTTGCCTGGCTGAGACTGTTTGGGAAGCAGCCGTGGTATCAATCAAAATCCAAAAGACTCCACTGAAGGAGGGCGATGTGGCCCGCTTGGGCCAATACTCATGCCAGGGGCTGTAGGGGAAGTTGCTTCTCTGTAGAATGGGCCACACAAGCACCAGGCTCCCCGTGGTCACGGGGTTCCGTTGTGGCTTTGTGGCAGCCCCAGGCATGATGTCCTCAAGAGGCGAGGGCAGTTGGCAGAATCCCTCGCCGCCATGTGATGGGAACTGGGCATTATCTCCCACTTCGTGGCAGCTGCCTAGAGAACCTATACCTCCCAACAGCCAATGCACGGGTGAGGC